GGCCCACGCCGCCCAGGGCGTCCAGCAGGTCGGTGAAGGCCATGCCTCAGGCCTGACCGAGCCCGGCCGGCAGGGCCTTATGTACAGGGGCTGGGACACGCCCTGGGAGGTGGAAGAACAGGCCCGGGGTCAGGACTGCAGATGCCCTGTGCCCACAGCTCAGAGGGTCCGGTTACACCTCCCAGGCGGCCTCAGGTGTCCCCATGTCTGCAGGGCTGCCCCCTACAGACCCTTCCTCCCGGATTCTTCAATCTCTCCCCCCCCCCCCCGCCCCCACTGCCCCCTAGAACAGTGAGCGTCCGGAGGGCTGGCTCACAACCATCGCCCAGCTCTGCGGGCCCAGCCGCCCTGCCCGCTGCCCTCGACGGAGGTCCTGCCAGCAGTACATGCTCCTTCCCCTTCCCTTTGAATGGGGTTTTGCGAGGGGCTCGGCCCCCAGATCCTCCAGCCCCATGGTGTTCTCATCAAGCAAAACCCAGTACAGAGAACTCGGAGCGCCTGCCCCCACTCCCCACCTGGCTCACAACCAGCCAGGCTCCCAGGAAGCGATGGGCCAAGCCCCCTACTGAGGACATGGAAGCCCCGAGGGCCTGGTCCAGGGACCCACAAGGAAGAAGCGGGCCCGGGATGGCCATTCCCGGCCCTGTGCCAGCCCATGGCAGGCAGAGTCGAGGCCGTCTGCCATTCGGGGCTCCACCTGGGGCTCCCAGCAGCCGAGGGCAGCCCCCACCCCTGGGCTCCGTCAGCCTTTGCCCGCACACACTGTCCTAGTTTGTGGCTCCCTCTACACCCCCACCACCCCCTCCCCTCAACCACTCTTATCTCTGTAAGGAAAGCCAGGCTCCCAGAGGGCCAGAGCAGCTTACATAAGCTGCAGGTGTCTGGGTCACAGTCCCCCCAGGAGGCCCTGAAGGAGGCTCTGTGCTCCGGGGAGCTTCCTGGGGGGTCGGGATTGTGCTAAGTAGGGGTTTTGGTTTCAGCCAGAGCCTCACAGGCTGGAGCGAGCCAGGAAGGCAGGAGTCGGGCCTCCAGGGCGGCCAGGAGGGTGGGCAGGCCCAGCAGGCCACCTGCCAGGTCCCGGGGCAGCAGCCTGGGGCAGGAACACAGTCCAGAGACAGACACGGGGCCTTTCTCCTTTATTATTTGAGGTTTCTCTGCATGGAAACACGAGCCCCCCCACACACCCAGGCTCAGGTGCCTCTGGCACCCCCATAAGTAGTATACCAGTACCAGAGTCCCCTTTAAAGTCACCGATATAAAAAAGGAGGGAGGGAGGGAGGGGAGAAGGGAGGGCCTGACCACCCCCTGGGCCAGGCAGCTCCTGGTCAGCAGACAAGGCTGGGGCCCAGGCCGTGGGGCAGAGGGGGACGTTGGCTTCTGCACAGGAAGGGACAGGCGTTCCCAGCGCTGGGGAGGGGGCCCGGCTGGGAGGGGGCTCTGCACACTATGATACAGACGGTGCAGAGCTAGTGGTTATGGTTTAAAGTCCGCAGGTAAGGCCAGGTGGCTGGTCTCTGGAGTGAGGGCAGAGGACACATTAAGATGCTGGGAGGCCAGGGCTGTCAGCGCCCCCAGGAGCCCCACCCTGAGGCAGGAACAAGCGAAAGCTGCCTTCCTGGCTTGGCGACGGGAGGGGCTGGGGGCGTCCACCTGAGCCCATGGTCCGAGGAGCAGGGGGGGCCACACAGCTCTGCCCAGAGCAGATGGACCGTGGCGGCTGGGAGGTGAGGGGACAGAGGCCACTGCCCGCTCCGAGGAAGGCACTTGCAGCTGGCGTGGCCGGGCGAGGCGTGGTGGGAAGGCAGAGCTTGGCAGATGACGAGGGAGAGGAACGCAGCCCGGGGCCTCACCCCTGCTCATGCAAACATGGTCAGCTGTAGCCACTGCGGTGGAGGGAGAGGAGAGAGGAGACGGGTCAGCGGGGCCACTCCAAGCCCCGCCTCCCAGCCCCATGGCTCAGGCGCCACCATCTCTCAGCCCCCTGAGAGCGACCCTCTTGGGGGGTAGAGGAGGGCCACTTGCTTACCTCCTCCACCCTGGGAGGCCGGCTGCTGGCTCCTGCAGAGGCCTCCAGGGGCCTGGCCTCCCTTCCCAGGACCCGACACCCCACCCCATCCTTCCAGGACTCGGGGGGCCTGGCCTTGAGGGCTGGCTCTGAGGCCACAGGCTCCACCGCCCCCTGAGGTCCTTCCCCGTCCTGGCCCAGGAGGTTCCCACCTGAAACAGGTCGAAGGTCACGACTCCATCCAGATCTGTGTCCAGAGTTTTGAAAAACCCTGTGGTTCAAGAAAAGATGACATGGGGCTGAGAATTCTGGGGGGGCATTCCTGCAGGCCTCCCCTCCTGCCTCACCCCCACCTCCCCACAGCACCCCAAGCTTTCACCCACCACAGCCATTAGAGGCTCTTCCTGCTGCCCAAGAGCCCCCCGCCCGACCCCCCCCCCACCCACACACACAGGTCTCCGGGCACTCAGCCCCTGGGGCTCCGCTCCGAGACCTTGGCCTCCCTGGTAGGTGCCATGCAGGGTCTACACCTGGAGGTAGGAGCTGAACGGGACACTCACGGAACATGGTCTCCAGTCGCACCAGGCAGCACACGAAGTTGTCAAAGTCCACGGCCAGGTCAGGCTCGGAGTAGCGGGTGATAATGAGCTCGTACAGCTTCTTGTTGAGCTTGAAGCCTGGCCCAGAGGAGCAGGTGAGAGCCAGGGAGGCACAGCCCAGCCCCAGGGGACAGGGAGGGGACCAGGGCTGGAAGGGTGAACCCTCGGGTCTCTCCAACGGAGGCTGTGGCTGCTTCACCTCTTCCTGCTGTGTGGCCTCAGGCCAGTCACTCTCCCTCTCTGAGCCTCACTTTCCTCTGAGCACAGTGGGAACAATAAAAGCCTCTACCCTCATAGCTGCACCGAGGACAAAAGTAAATGCTGCTACCACACAGCTCGGAAGCCGTGGGGAAAGGGCAGAAGAGGGCTGTTCCCGCACCACCACCATCGCCACCATCACCACAGGGACAAGGGCCAATTGTCAGGGAGGCAGCCTGGGGCCATCTGCCTGGGGCCCCACAGGTGCCCCAGCCTCACCTGCAGACTCGATGGCCATCCGCATCTCGTAGGCGCTCATGCTGCCCGACTTGTCCAAGTCAAACTTCCGGAAGATGGACTGGGGCGGGGAGCAGAGGGTGAGGGCTCAGCCGAGACAGCCAGCCCTTCCGGTCCGCCCCAGGGTGGGGATTGTGGAGGGGAGGAGGGAGGCCAAAAAGGGGGGTCAGTTGCTGGGGCACGTGGGCTCCGGAGAACCAGGCCTGAGGTGGGACCTGGGCCGTCAGTCAGCCTGCAGCCCGGCCTGGCCCTGCTGCGACTAAGGCCACAGAGCACAGAGGAGGGGGACGGCGGTGCAGCCGGCAGGGGCCACCTACCAGGTAATTCCGGATGCGGTTCCACAGGATGTTGAACTCCACTAGGCCCAGCTTCCCATTGCCGTCCCGCTGGGCAGCCGTTAAGGGAAAAACCCCACAGCTGAAACCCCACCGCTGGGAGAAGGGGAGACTGGCCGCAGAGAGCGCCAGGAGCAGCAGGACCCCAGGACAGCCAGCCGTGGCCAGCCCGGCCCTGCCCTCTGAGCCTGGGTGGGCCGGGAGGTGCAGAAAGAGCACCAGCCTGAGGGCCACTCGGGGACCGGGCCCTGCTCCACCTCTCACCTGACACCAGGCCCGTGACTCAGTTTCTGCTTCCCAATCGATGGGATGACGCCCAGGAGGCACCGGTCCACCCGCACTGCACAGAGCTCTGTCCCTTTCTCTGCCCCACTCCCGGGACGAGTCCCCCAGCCCCCTTCCCACGCCTGCACCCCCCCGCCGCACGCCCCGTGGCAGGATACGTCCATGAGGTTGACCATGCTGCGGCAGGACTCCAGGCTGAAGCCCTTGGTCCGCAGGTCTTTGTCTGCAAGAAAAAGCAGTTCCAGCGCCCGGCCCAGCGAGCTTCCTGGGCCCGGCCCGGGGCAGTGCCACCAGGTGGGACAGGATCAGGGAGGCACCATCCCTGTCGCCTGGCGTGTAAAATCTAGCAGGGAGGGGTCTGCCTCAGGCTCCAGGGAGAGAAGAGAAGGGTTCTGAGCCTAGGGAGCAGCAGGGCCGGAGGTCGGAGGTCAGAGGTCAGAAGGGGGGCAAAGGGAAGGTTGGTGGAGCTGCCTTCAGTTGTGCACATCGGGGGGTGAGCCAGCTCTGCTCCCAAGCCACTCGGCCTGGCCCGGGTGCATCTTCCGGGAGGAAGGGGTCCTGTATGTTGGCACTAAGGTGCTGGCAGCGACCAAGCTTCTAATCGCAGGGCACCACGCTCAGGCACAGAGAATGTGGCCCAACAAGACGGCGCGAGGCGTTTGGGAGGAAAGTGGGGGTGAGCAGGGCTCAGGAAGGTGGCGGAAGGTTCCCCACCCACAAAGACCAAGGGGCCGGGGTCAGCTCAGCGAGGGAGCAGACGCCTGGGTTGTGGGCTTCGGAGGAAACGGGGGTGGAGTGGGGGTGGGGCAGGATGCAGGGTGCAGAGCAGCTGCTCGGGACGCTCACGTTTGCTGATGATCCTGTTGAGGATGGTCTGCAGCTCCTTGACGCTGATCTCCAGGTCCTGGGGGGGGAAGGGAGGATGGCACCCGTCCTGGCGAGAGGCTGCCCCCCCATGCCCAGAGGCCCCTCCACCACGGGCTGCCCCCCATGCCCAGAGGCCCCTCCACCACGCCCCAACCTACCTCCCCTGCCAGCTGTCTGAAGAGGGTCTTGAAGCTCTCATCAATCTCCCCTTCTGAGAGCACTTGCTGGTTGGAGAAGGGGGAGCAGGTCAGGGACCCCCCCCAGCCCGGCCCCCGCATGGGCAGCAACTGAGGCAGGGCTGGGACCACCCGTTAGCTGCCTGTCGCTTCACCTCTCTGAGCCTCGCTCTTCTCCTCTGTAAGATGGGGGTCTAGTCCCCACTCTACCCCCTGCTCAGGATTCTTGTGGCTTAAGTGAGGAGGGTGCAGTTCAGCTCAGTAATGAAGGGTGAGCTTTGGCTTCCGGCTGCGCTGCCCGGAGCAAATTCCTTAACCTCTCTGAACCCGAGCTTCCCGCTGAGGGGGAGGGTGACAGCACCCTGACAGGGTTGTTGTGGACACAGGGTGACCTGGGAAAGACCTCAGCAGGGTCCCAGCAGAGAGCGAGAGACCAGGGACCCACACCACGATTATCACAAAGTCCTCCACACGCAAACTGTGAAGTGCTGGGCTAACGAGGAGTCAGCATTCTTCTTATGGCTCCTGCCAGAGGGGGCTCTGCCCGGCCAGACGGCGCCCAGGCACAGGACGCCCAGGGCCCAGCAC